CCTTTTGAGGTCATTAGTAGAAAAAAATAATAATGTAATCATAAAGAATAGTAGAAATACGGAACAAAAGGTTCATAAAGATAGGATAAAAAAGATAAATACTTAAAAAACGAAGTTTTAACGGAATTGATCTGATCAACCACTCTAAATAAAAAGAATTTTTTTTCTTCACGATTAAACAAAATTTTTTCTTTCTACACGATAAAAAAAATTTAAAACTTACAATAATGTTTATCTAAAAAACTATTAAAATTAAGTAAACTCAAATTATGTAATAATGTATTTAAGAATGGAACTAATGGTGAATGGGGATTTTACCGGCATTACATCCTTTATGGATGTCGATAAGAAACTTTAGTCTTCTCCCAGCCAACCGTCGTTCGATGAACGGTAGGCGGAAGACTCAGATTCGTCGTCAATCTCTGCACTCTGTTCGTGAGCTAACTTATCGTATTCACCCTCTTGGGTGAGCTCTCTTTGCACAGTATTATTCACCCGCTGGCGCCTCTGACCTGAAACCCTTTCAGATGAATTCTGCATTTTTTTGCCTTGTTCGTTTTGGACCCGCTCGTTACTGAACTGATTTTTATTGTAACCTGTCTGCTGCCTAAACTTTGACCCTGAAGGGTCAGCGTCCATGGGCGACTTGCCATGGCTTTGACTCCCTGAGGCACATACGTCTACGTCGTACGATGCTACGACCTTGTTGGTGACCAGTGTGAGCTTTCGCTGAAGGCTATCTTAGAATTCTATTAGCGAGTCATTATTTTGCTTAACTGTCTCTAGGTCCTGTCTGAGGAACCGTAGAAGTGTTCTATCAGCATATGTGTCGTCTTATCTAGCTATCATAGCGTTAAAGTGCAGCTTATTTTTTTAACTGGTGTTTTTATTTGCAATCTGTAATAAGTGTAATAAGTGTTTAGTACGAGACTAAACTTAAGTCTAGAACCCAAAGCGGCTAGAAGCTATTTCATTAAAGAGAATACAACAGTCATCATGCCGACTTAGCGCAAACAATAACGCTGCTCTTGCAACACACGCAAGGTAAAATGTTACCGACGCTGACCGTTGCGATCAGGACGTTGACCAGCCACATTCAGTTGTGTCAGCACTATACGCGCAATTGCTGACCCTTGCTTAGGTTTTCAATAAAGTGTCAAGCTGTAATGTGCGATTGGCACTCGTTAACTTATATGTATGTCGCGTCATCGCATGCTTAAGTATTTATATCAGCAACGATGGCGTTGCTGTGTTGTAGTTTCGCAATAATACGAAATATTGCTATATCTTTTATGATGCTCTTTTGGTAGCATTTTTGTAACGGTTCTTTGTCTAGCTACAAAAATGCTATAAATATATATATATACATATATATATATATATATATATATATATATATATATATATATATATATATATATATATATATATATATATAAATATATATATAAATAATTTGATTGAAGCAAGCAACATCGTCTGATGCTGGACAAAGCCGATCGCTTCAAATTCAATCCGGACACTGCAGGTGCCAACGCTGCATCGCGGTGTAATTCTGTGGAAATTATTTTGTAAGAAAACGCATTATAAGGAAGTGCGTTTGTCAACGCTCTAAGTTCAGCATTAGAAGGAAGAGCTTCACAGTGGCTTTCTCAAATATGACACAATGATATTATGAACGCTTTGATACAATACAAACTTCAGCTGCCATGTTTCTAAATATGTTGTCAAATCGACCAATGGACGGCTAGTGTATTGAAGTCCATGCAAGTCGCATGGTTAAAGAACTGACGGAAAAATTGCATCACATTGAAAACTAGGAAATTGCGGTGTCCGAGGCTCTTGAGTTGCTGGCTACGTGTAAAATTTTCTGGTAAAAGATTTAAAAATATTGTTATGCTAAAAGCACATAGGCTGCAATGGCATATGTAGTACAGTTAAAATATTAAGTAATGTAAAAATTAATGGTAATTGTATTGAGGTTTTGTTTAATGTAAGAAGCAAAGCGATGTTATTGGTCGAGAGAATATACATCAGGGTTTTGATATTGTCGTTTCATCATTGTCGTCTTTTTTCAAAGAAATTAAGATATCAAGAGCGAAGAAAATTTTTGTACAAGTGATGAGTCATCCAATGTTGATAATGAACTAAATGGACAAGATAAAATATAACTACATTTATTTATATTATATTATAATACTGAAATTCGTTTATGAAAGGTATCCCCTCTAGTAAAGTCAATGTTATTGAAATGAAAATTGGACTAGCAGATCCAACGAAAACAGTTCACAAAAGGCAATATAGATTAAGTTCAATTGAACGAGATTTAGTGTGAGAAAAATGCCGAACTACTAAAGTGCAACATATTTAGACTAACTGGTTCACCTTTCGCAAGTCCCATATTATTAATTTAAGAATATATTTAATAATATATATTTATTTTTTCAAAAACAAACAAACCAAACAAACCAAGTAAGAAAGCTCTAGTCGGGGTGCCCGACTAGGAGATAGCCTGATCCCAGTCCTGTTTGAGTTTTTTAATATTTTCCGCAGTTTGTATCGAGTATTCAAAAAAAAAAAAAAAAAAAACAAATAAAAGAAACGACATTACGAGACCATGATTCGAACCCGGATTGTTTGCGCAACATGCACCAACTCTACCAACACCGCCACGTCATAATTAATAAAAAAAAAAATAAAACATAAAAACATGTCTCGTCGCCGCGAGGAAGGAACCCGAGACTACACGCTAACGAGCGCCGCCTCTACCAGCGCAGCAACTTCACTGCTTGCGAAAAGAGTTGTAAATTTGAAATTAAGTAGCAGCTAATAATTCAGCACAATTCAATCGCAATTTCGATTCTTCGAATAGAAAAGAATACACGCATTTGAATATATGTGTACACACGCAAAGGAAAAATGCGTGCGCGTGGCGCTGCTGACATGTGCTTTTGCAAATTGGCCAAACATTTTGTTTAATAACTTCTGTTCTTTTTAATATGATCTACATATCCTATTGGCTTGGTTGAGATGCAAACGCCTTCACATAATGGCCCTAGTTCCAACTGAACTTAAATTTTAAGAATTTGGGGAAATTTGGATGCAGTATCCAAAATCCAACCAAAACCAAAATTGCATAAAATATACATAAATCTAAATACAAAATTTAGCTCTAGCTCTTAAGACGTCCGAGATATAATTTATTAACTGCATTCAATCATGTTTTTATTCGATAACAATTAAATGGGAATAGTTATCGAATATTTAAAACAAACTTGACCTGCGCGTGCTATACACGGACCTACAAAAAAAGTCTCTAGCTCTTATAGATGCTGAGATCCGCGCGTCCACACATACGGACAGACGGACGGACATGGCTCAATCGACTCGGCTTGTCGTCTTGATCAAGAATATATATACCTTATAGGGTATGCCACGCCTCCTTCTGCATGTTACATACATTTGCACAAAACCATTAACCCATTTTCAATGGGATCAGGGTATAAAAAAACAGCACACACAAACCAACAAGCAGTAAGCAGCGGTCACCTGTTTTAAAATTAGAATAACTGATTAGTGACTGCAAATCGGCTGCTTTTAAGCAACAAAATTAGGTCTTTAGGAGACGTTGGCAAAAAAAATAATCTTGCGTGGCAAAAGGTGCCAACATATCCACGCGCAATTAACTGTACAAGTTTGATTTTTGTTGTATTTTGGAAACCGACCTAAGTTCTTTTAATTGAATTATAATTTTTACTAAAATTAGAAATATGTTTAAAGAATATGCAGATAATATGCGCGTTCTTTTCTATTCGAAGAATAGAAATTTTTTAATTGTCAACTGATACTTTGTAGTATGTTTAATTACATATTAATAATACTCGAAGCAATGTAGAGTATTCTACATATGAATGCGAAGTCATAACACTTTACTCAATTTATATACATATTTTGATGTTTAAGGATTGAGAGGGCATATTAATGAAAATTTAATGAGCGTGCGGAACTTATGGAATATATGTGAATAAACTCTTTGTAATTATAAATTGTCAGTAGGGATTATTAAGAGCATACGATGTAGCCATATAAGAATGCTATAGAACTCATTTTGTGAAAATGAATAGCTAAAAACAAAACAAAACGTTGTAAACGATCATGGTCAGGGTGGAAAAAGTAGGTCACCTTAAAATCTATAGCCGACACTCGCGTGTCAAGCCATCCCTGACTTGTCATCCGACACTATGCTTGAAGGTATTTCGCTGCATTACCTTTCTCCCTATGTTAACAGCGCATGTAGTAGTTCCCCTTGCTTCTTTCCTTTCCATCCAGGAAAGCATCCGCGTAACCACTATGGACGACCTTGAATAAACCACGCTATTAAGCATCATATCGTTTTTCGGTTTCCCTTTACATTTTAAAAATAATACCTTTATTATATATTATAATTATCATTTATATATATATGTATATATATATATGTATTAATATATATACCAAAGTGTCACATGCATAACGCGAATCTCGATGCCAAAGCGTTGAAATAGAGTGCATATTGCATAAAGGGTACAGTGCTATTTCGGTATTTTAGATAAAAGCATAAATCTGAATAACTGCACATAAATAATATTATATAAATATCTTTTTAAGGCTTTAAAAACTTAAAGTATATATACGACCACTAAACAACAATGTACTGTCAAAAATAGCCGTAATTTTCTCATACTTAAAAAATTATATTCGAAGTATCAAACATACTTTGGTCATGTACGAATGTAATTTATGGCTCAAATATTCTGGCATCCAAAATAATTTCATTATATGACGGTCATTTCGAAATCTCAATATTTTGGGTCTACGATTTTACGGACTTCGCAGTGAGGATTCTAATAAACACATAAAAGATTTATATATGGGCTAGCTAATTAACGTAATAGATACCTAGTATAGATACATTTTCGAGCAATAATTGTATTTTTGTTTTCTTTTTAGTGAATAAATCGTTTTTATATTTGTCAGACAGTATTATTTAATTGCTATGTTTTAGTATTACATTTTGCTTACAGGTTTTAAACCTAATATATGGAAACATTTCCGTAACACGACTGCGGTTGCCTCACACAATAATATTCTACTATGGTTCACACTAATAATTTGGCCAGACTTATTTTTTTCAATGCAATAACAATCGTCATAGAATTCGGTAAATACTACGCAAACTTCATAACAAAACTCGCAAAGGTAGTGTAGAAATAAGCCCCTTGCGCACTGTATTAATACGTCATGTAATTTGAGCAGTGTTTTAGCAAGCTTCCACTCTTTCTTATGATCCAGTTTTATGTTATATGTATCTAAAATTGCTCCCAAGTTGCTAAAATCATCACCGGAGTTGCGAGCAATAGAGCAAATGCGAGTGTACGTGTACAGTAAATATACCGCAGTATTTCCACGATCATCAAGCATTTTATCAAAAGAAAATATATAATCGCTGATACGGTTATGGGACAAATCCGTATACTTTATACAACCATATGCCACTGCTTCTTGAGCCTCAACCAGTTCTTCAGGCGTTAATATTTGATCACGACCCCTCTCTTGTAACTGCTTCAAAGAATATTTCATACCCTCGTCCAGTAAGTCAGCTAGTTTTACAGTATCACCCGATCGTGTCTTAAATTTCTTGCCATCCTCGCCTAGAACCAGTCCAAATTGTACGTGATCAACCCGATGAACGTTCGAATTCAAAATGCCACATCGCTTCGCAGCCTTGAAGATTGCATTAAAGTGGGTGCTTTGTCCAGAATCCACAACATAAATTATCCAAGTGGCAAGGTCTTCTTCAACTCGATGTCTAATTGCTGCCATATCAGAGGTATCGTATGTAAAACCACCATCGGATTTTATAATTGTCAATGGAATTCCACTCTTACTATCATCGGGCCACATTATTTCGCGACCATCATCGAATTCGAGCAAACCCTTAACTCGCAGAAATTCAACTACTTTCAACATGCGTGACTGATAAAATGATTCGCCACGTTCATGAATTGTCACGTCTAAGCGATCATAAATTTGCTGAAATTCTTTTCGTGAAACATCGCATATATGTTGCCAAGCTTTTATTGATTCTGTTTTTCCCTTTTGTAGAGTAACAACTCGGTTGTAGGCTCGCTTTTTGAAATTGTCATCAGAATCAAAGCTGAAAATAAACGATACATTAAAAGGGATTAATATATATACAATTTAGCTATATAAATAAAAATATAAGAACTAGACAATGAAAATATTTATCATAGGTAATTGTAGTGGCTCTGGCTTTATTTTAAATATAAAGGAAAGAAAGAAAGATTTGTAAACTCTAACTCCAATGATACCAATCCCGTCTTTCGTTTCCCCATCTGTTGGGAGAGCAACGCAAAGCAGAGTGAAAAGCTTTTTACTTACAAGTCTCATTGCTGTATGTATCGAAAAACTTTTGTAATTAATACCATTATATATACATATTTTGATGTTTAAGGATTGAGAGGGCATATTAAGGAACATTTAATGAGCTTCTCGACCTCATGGAATATATGTGAATAAAGTGTCAGTTGAGATTGTTCTTAATAAGATTTATAATTTTAAGAGTGTACGAAGTAGCCATATAGGAATGCTATAGAACCCATTTTGGGAAAATGGATAGCTAAAAACAATACAAATGGTCAGGGTGGGCAAAGTAGGTCACATTAAAATCTAAAGACAATTGCTGAACACGCTATTCCTGACCCGTTGTCACCTGACATCAAGCTTTAAGGTAAGTAAGTATATGTCTACATTCGATTTCTCCATATGTTAACAGCGCATAGAACTGTAGTTCCCCTTCCTTCTTTCGACAGCCATTTGGGCGAATACAGCGCATGGCCTGCAACGACAATCCAGATAAACGTCGCGTACCCTCAATGTGTTTTATATGCTACAATCTTCAATAAACCTATACTGCTTTATTTGCATCACATAGTTGATAAGTTTTCGGTTTTCATTCACATTTTATAAATATATAAAATCAAAATAACGTATGCTTAACGAGAATCTTGATGCCAAAACGTTTAAACAGAGTGTATATTGCATAAAGGTTATGTACAGTGTCATTTCGGCATTTCGGATAACAGAAATCTGAATAACTGCTCTTAAATTATGTTATGTACTGACGAGCAAAATTGTAACACATGTTCTCACTTCAACGGTCTGTATTATCTCTTCTGCTTTATGCATGCTTAAGACCATAGTCTTGTTTTGTTAGTGAAATATTTGGCTCTTTTATCTACAAATTTACAATGGCAAAGAGTAAAAAAAAGACACAAGTTACAGTTTTGCACTGCAAACATTTTTCAACAAATATTCAACATTGGTTTTAATAACGAGTCCACAGCCCTTTTGATTTTTTTAGGTTGTTTGTTTATGTGGCTTTGCATACTTTGCGTGTAGCGTCGCACCATTTCAGGTGGAATCGAGTATCACACGCACTTCGTTCTCTCCCACAACCCCATCATTCCATTTGGAGGGGCCGCATATTTCACAAGCTGCGATTTCACATGGCTCCATAGGTTATCTATGTGATTCATGTCTGGGGATTGCGGTGGCCACTTCATAGTTTGAAACTTTTGGTTCAATAACCAATTTTTCGCCAAATGGGATGTGTGCTTTGGGTCATTGTCTTGCTGAAAAATGCATTTTTCAACAGCAAGACCCATTTGTAGAATTTTTAGGTGTTGCTCCTTAAGTATTATCCCATCGATTAACACTAAGGGCCCAATTCCATTTTTACAAATACAGCCCCAAACCATTATGGACCCGCCACCGTGCTTTACGGTTTGCCACACTGTATTTGCCGATTGGACTGTGGGATTCCTAGTCCAATACCACGACCGCCCGTCTGACTCAAAACGATTAATTTTAGTTTAGTCTGACCAAATAGCTTTGAAAAATTTTTTAGCATTGTTTAAACTTTTTATTTGTAACTTACGGCATTCAAATCAGCTAAAGTTAAATTTTCATGCAGTGCCTTTTAGCTAGAAATGTTTTTTTTTCTTTCTTTGGCCTTAAGGCCCAATCTGCCGAGACTGCGACGGACTGTCCACTCACTGGCATATAAATTTAACACATTCGCCGCTTTTATTGGCGTAAAGTCGCGATTGCTTGTAACTAAGTTAGCCACGGGGCGCGTGTCACATTCGCTTAAAACTCGCGGTCGCCCTCCTTTATTGATTTTAATGTTTTCTGAACTGTTTTTTATTTAAACGCTGCACAGTTATATGGCTAACACCAAATTTATTAGCCCCTTTCCTAACGGATTCGCTCCCTATCAATAATTCGATTATTTTCTTTTTCTTTTCATCATCCATCATAATTATTTTGCAAATTGACTTAAAATGATCAAAGCTTACAGATTTAAACGAAAACCGATAAGCCTTAACGGTAAAAATGCTATGAAACGAAAGTAAATAGGGTTTGCATTGCGAGTGCAAAACTTTAGCATGTGACTTTTTACTCTTTGCCATTGTATCTAATCAAATGTCTTCAAATTTGTAGATAAAAGAGCCAAATATTTCACTAACAAAACAAGACTATGATCTTAAGCATGTATAAAGTTGAAAAGATAATACAGACCGTTTAAGTGAGAACATTGAACATGTCAATAAGAGGCTTAAGTTTCTCTTACTTTAAGAATTATGTTCGAAGTATCCAAATAAAAATGTGGATATGTAAGCATTGAAAAACTTTAAACTATCTTACTATTATAATTTACATTTTTAAATTGAGGTGAATGCTTAACATTTTTAGTTAAATATATCACAAGATGGTCTAATGCTTAGAAAATTGCTAATATTAATTGTTAAAAATACTAGTTACCGTTTCTTAGATTCTTTGTAAAATTCCTGAAGATCTCCAATTGGTGGGCTCTCGTTTATAAAATTTGGAAAGCAATCTTCTAGATGCGCTATTAGCATACCAAACTGCGTCCCCCAATCTCCAAGATGATTAATGCGAATAACATCATGTTGTAGAAATTCAAGAAGCCTACAGATTGACTCGCCAATTATAGTGGATCGTAAATGGCCAACATGCATCTGCTTTGCTATGTTTGGAGAGGAGAAATCAACTAATACGCGTTGTTTTAACACTCTTGGCGGTCTAACGCCATCCCGCAACATATTAGTTAAAGAGCGCACAGCAAACTTCCTAGAGAAAATATACATATAACATATATATATATATAAGTATATATATATATTTGAAAAAATACTTTAATGTACTTGCTGAGAAAAATGTTGATGAAACCAGCACTTGAAACTTCTAGCTTCTCTATTATTGGAGATTCTGGAATGCACTTTTGAATATCCACAGCAATATCTCGCGCAGCTTTAATAATCCCCTCTATCTTCATTTTCTTGGATAGTCCCATAGCGTTATTGCACTGGTAGTCTCCGAATGGTGACGACACATTTACAGCGGCAATAATAGCTCGAACGTTACAGAAGCAAGGATATGCATTGGCAATTGCAGATGTAAATACTTTTTCCAAATGTTCCGTAATAGAGAGATTATCATCGTTGTGCATTTTACCATTAGTTTCTTGTTCTTCTGTTATTGACTATAAATAACATATATTAGTATAAATGATATATTAAACAGAAGTACTAACTTTCTTGATAACGGCGAACCGATGCTTAAGTTTCCTATTTTCCATTTGCAGCTTGGTGAGATAATCATAGTGATCTTCAAAATCCGTGTGCTGTTTCAGTGTAGTCTGCTTAATTATGGCTTGTAGCTTTGCCGTATCGTATTCCTGTTGACCGTGTAAGTCATATGAATTTACATTACATTAATTTAAAATGAGGAAATAAAAATTAAAAATTAATTAAGTGCATACCAGGTTTATTAGCGTATTCAACTCAATTTTTAATTCTGAAATCATACCGATACTGCTATTTTTGATCGACACAGCGAAAAAGTTCTGCCACATGGATAAGTGAAAAAAAGTAAATCATTAAAATATAGTTTTTGAGGTTATTTTTTAATACTTTATACAGTATAAACTCGACAAAAGCAGTGTTGAAAGAACTTAACACAAAATCGAAAGTGACCAATGGTGCTGCTTAATAAAACTATAATTAAACTATTAGCATTAAGCCAAATATTAGTATACTAGCCTGTCTGATGATTAAATTAGAAAGTAAAGCTGGAGAATCATCGACACCGCCATCGATTTTTTTATGCAAGGAATATCGATACTTCCCATAACCACTTACATATGTTTTTGCAGCCCTCATTTCAAGATATCATTAGGTAATACAGTCGAATATCGAACATTTTAATTGACAACGGAATATCATTTTTCAATATCTTCACAGATTAGACCATCCCAAAATCAAACTAAAAAATTATGAGAAAACCGCAAATTATATATATAGCGACATAAAGGCGAAATTTCAAAAGGTTTCGTAAAACTCTAATTTACAAGACGTAAAATGCTACTGCGATTTTACGCGTTTCAAAAAAACATGGAACCTATAGTATTATTTATTAAGATATAAAATATGTCAGTTTGTAATTTTCGGCAAAGTAAATTTATTAAATTTTGCATTGCACGTTTTGTAAACGATGGCTTATTGTAATCGATATAACTTTATCATCTGTAGTGTTTCATTTTCATTACAAGCAAGGCATTGCAGTACCCCAAGCAAACAGCCGATAAACATAACAAAGACCATGAAATGCATTGATGCAAGTTTTTTTGTTTACAGTCAAGTATAAGATTTCAAGTAAAACATATATAGCCATATTATAAAAATATTATGCGCTATTGCTAAATAAGTTCAATTATATTATTGAAACTATTAGGAAAGAGAACGGAATTAATGGACACATAAATAAGTTATTAGCTCAATGTATATAGTATATTGCAAATAATAATAAAACCAACTAAGTAATAATATTGAAAAGAAAGAGACAAACAAAGAAAAACACTATCAATCAATGGAAAAACACTAATACCTTGAGGACATTTTGACGGACTCAACAAACTATGAACGCTTTTAATGATATTCCGAAAATGATTTGAAAGCAGTTTTAATTATGTCATGAGAGAATTTAGAAGAATATGTGATAAAATTAAGACTTTTTTAAAAAATCAATGTTCCTAATATTGATAAAATGACGACTTCTTTAAAAAATCAATGTTACTTAATTGTTCAGGCATGAACAGACAACATACATAGTCCTTCAATCCAACCAACAAGGTTAAGTGCTAATCTCTTTAAAAATTGCTCATTGGCTTACCAATCCAATCTGTGACTAGAGGCAAGAAACTATCAACCAGACAATAAAAATAAAAATATCTACAGATCATGCCAAGGAGTAAATTAACAGAAAAAAAAAAAAATACATACAACACAAAAAAAAGATATTGTCGGTAAATACTCTTGAGTTACTAAAAAATATAACAGATATTTTTGACAACATCCATCAGACCATCGCGAAATCCAGATCGCAACTGAATTGATTGCCAATCACGTAATGCTGATCAAAATTAGTGTCGTCGACCATGATTATATTAAATTAAAAAGTCCCTGATGACGGTCGATATTGCTGACTACGCCGTGGACACCGACCAAATAGCACCTATCCAATTAAAGACATTCAAGGCACAACACAGGCAGCAGAAAATAATATTTTCCCCAAAAAAGCTCGTGCCCAATGGATGTTATGGTAGACCTTGTGGACAGAAGAGCTCTAAAAGTAAGGCAATACATGCAAGAAGTGTATGCTAATCTTGAGCTCAGCAGCCAGGAAAGAAATCCTTGACAATAAAGAATGTTGATTTTCTTGTGGAACAAAGTCCAGGCAACCCTCACGGACTAAGATGAGCTAGAATGCAATGTAAGTATGCTCACAAGAAAACTAAGCAGAAGAGTAGGTGACTTGCAAAATATAAAAGAAGACGTTCCAGAGCTACCGAAAGTGGATCTTCCTCACTTTAATGGAAGTCTAAAAGAATGGCCAACGTACTTCAAACTATTTTCCGAGGTAATTCACAACAGGAAAGATATCAGCGACTCAAGAAAGCTGAAATCATGCCTCAACGGAGAAGCCAAAATGGTCATAGGCGACTTATTATTTGAATCGTCTGCTAGCTACAATATAGCGTGGGAACTTATATGCAAGCGCTCCGAAAATAAGCGGAAAATATTTGCTAACGCCGTCAACCAGCTAGTGGAAATGGAACTGATGAAGGCAGTATCCGCAAGTTCTTGGGTACTGCAACAGAATGCATTTTCATCATCAAAGAAAAAGGGCAATTTGGTAATGAAACTGATGTTCTATTCGCTCAGGGTCTGTTGCGATGATTCACTACGAGTACCAAAGGGGTCATATATTTGAAAACACAACTTAAACTGGGCCGAATGAAAAGGAACGCTAGTTCAAGGAATTTCACAAAATAATAATAGACACAAAATAAATAGGACTTGCATAATAATTAAACCTAGCACTGCTATGCCAAAACTTTAAAGAGTTCTACTGAGAAAGAAAATTGATATGAATGTTAACAAGGATTGAATTGGTTAGCAGACACATATATTAACAAGCCCAGTAGAATAGAAGTACTCATTGCTTGCTTCAATAGTTGAACCTAGGTCACATGGAACCGGTTGAAACTTTTGATTTAGCCAAGAAAAGATGAATACTCCACAACAGCGACGCAAATGGCAGCTAGATATGTCAAGCGTCATGGGTGGCCATCTTGTTACATGTTCAGCGGTAGACAAACTAGATTCAAGGCATAAATTTATGCATAAGTCTGGGTATAAAAACGCGTACTCAAAAGAATAATGAGATAGTACAAAAGTGATCACCGCCAATATTATATATAAGTTAACACAAAGTAGTCTAATCAGGCTAACCGTATGCATGTGCACTAAAGTCGCAGCACTCAACAGAAGTCGCTGACGCGAATGTAAGCTGATGCATCGTGATGAGTCAGTGAGGAATGTGACGAGGCGCTTTAGCTTTAGCGCTAGCTCAGGAAGCTGAGGTTTGCAATAAATAATCATTTTCGCAACGCCATCCGCGTCCTTGGCTGAAGAGAATTGCCAAGCTGCTGACGACGATGTATCCGACGACTTGTGTAATTTTACAAAATTTTACAAAATGTCCGATTAAATTGTTCAATAAAACAACTTACTTTTTCTTGCTTCCAACATTAAGTGATTTCGATGGTATAGTGGGACTAGATTTTCTCATACAAATCAATGCACATGTCGACTTAAATACCACTACGATTAAGTACAATGGCGGCACACAGCCAATTATATTCAAAGCATGCCCGCAAGTTAACTTTACCTAAGTTGACGATGCTGACGTTCCGACAGTCATGAGAGAACCTTTCAAGGCAATGATCAATAAAAGGTCAAAAGCGTTTACAGACCCAAACGAGTCTCTCCCCTACAATATCAACACTGTGGCCACTATCCGAACGGATAACGAGCCAGTTTACTCAAAATTTTACCCAATGGGTGACTTCAAATGGTGTATTCAAAAAAAAAAAGAAAATAAATAAAAAACGACATTGACAAACGACAACCAGGCTTCGAACCCGGACAGTTTGCGCAACGTGCACCAAATCTACCAACACCGCCACTTCATAATTTAAAATAAAAAAAAAAAACAATAAAAAAAGTCTCGTCGCCGCGAGGATTGAACCCGAGACTAAACGCTAACGAGCGCCGCCTCTACCAATGCAGCCACTGCACCTCTTGCAAGAAAAGTTGCAAATTTGAAGTTAAGTAGCAGCTAATAATTCAGCACAATTCAATAGCAATTTCGATTCTTGAAATAGAAAAGAATACACGCATTTGAATGTATGTGTGCACACGCATAGGAAAAATGCGTGCGCGTGGCGCTGCTGACATATGCTTTTGCAAATTGGCCAAACGTTTTGTTTAATAACTTCTGTTTTACTTAATGGATTTTAATGAAATTTTCAGCATATGATCTACATATCCTATTGGCTTGGTTGAGATGCAAACGCCTTCACATAATGGCCCTAGTTCCAACTAAACTTAAATTTTAAGAATTTTTGGGAATTTGGAGCCGGTATCCAAAATCTAACAAAAATCAAAATTGCATAAAATATACATAAAATTAATCTCTAGCTCTCAAGATGTTTTTATTCGATAACAATTAAATGGGAATAGTTATCGAATATTTAAAATAGACTTGGTATGAGCGTACTATACACGGACCTACAAAAAAATTTCAAGTCTCTAGCTCTTATAGATGTTGAGATCCACGCGTTCACACATACGAACAGACGGACGGACAGACAGATGGACAGGGCTCAATCGACTCGGCTTGTCGTCCTGATCAAGATTATATATACTTTATGGAGTCTGCCACGTTTCCTTCTGCCTGTTACATACATGTGCACAAAACCATTATACCCTGATATCCCATTTTCAATGGGATCACGGTATAAAAACTGTGAATGACAAATACCCTACACCCGCCATCTCGACAATACTGTCGAACATGGGTAAAGCCCAATTCTTCACTACATTAGACCTAAAGTCGGGGTTCCATCAAATTGAATTGGCAGAAAAGGACAGAGCAAAAAACTGCTTTCCCTGTGAATAACGGCAAATGTGAATTCTGCCTGTTTGTCCTGAAAAACGCTCGAAGCACATTCCAATTGGCCATAAACGATGTATTGAGACAACAAATAGGGACAACTTGTTACGTCTACGTTAAGCACGTAATAATTTTCTCTGAAAATAAAGAGGATCACGTCAAACACATTGACTGGGTCTTAAAAAGCCTTTACGAAGCTGGCATGAGAGTATCTCAAGAAAAGTCCAAGTTTTTTAAGAAAACCGTGGAATATTTGGGTTTTGTCGTAATTAGATAGATAGTACAGGCAATTTAAAACTTCTAGCCACCTTCAACCTTGCCTGATCTTACGTCGTTCCTAGGGTTATCCAGTTATTACCGGTGTTTCATAAGGAATTACACAGCGATAGCAAAACCGTTAACCGAACTCTTGAAAGGAGACAACGGTAAGGTAAGCGCTAATTAGTCAAGAAAGGTCAAAATTGATTACAATGA